CAGCTTTTCAGATAGGAATATTTACAGACTTCTAAAAGTGCTCTATGCCACTTTGATTCTTCTGTTGATTAAGCATAGACGGTTCTCAGTTGCAGAGATCATCTGGGCCTATCAGATGTAGCTTTACACCTCTTCAAACGTCCATCGGTCGACTTCAACAGGTTGCAGGGTCACGTATTTGTTAGACAAATATATACTTATATATTTAAATACTAAATAAAATAAAATTTAATTCAGGCATGCGCAAAATCAAACATTTACGTTTGCTGTAAATAGGTGCAGGGCACCTACTTCGGCTAAAGGCACCTATTTATTGTCTCAAAGGCATCGTTGAACGATGTTTGGGTGTCGCCCGAAGTTCAGCACAATAATTCGCTATGAAATTAATAAATGAACATTAAAACATGAATACGAAAGAAAACATCTAAAGTATTTATTTTATTCAGCGTTACTCCGGTCGTAAAATTTTTCAGTCTTGGAATGGCGCACTGCTCTAGTGTACTGCATACTGTACTTGCAAAAATTATCATCCTTACAAAGATGAAAACGACGACCTAGCTGTCGAAATACATGTCGTTACCCTTGGTACTTGGTTGAGTACCTCGTGTTCCCTGTTCTTTGTTCCTGATTATTCTTTTTGTGCATCTTGTGCTGTTTCGAGAGTCTTCGCGCGGAGGTGTTTACGTAAAGACATTTACTTCCTCATTACGATGACAGAGTTAATGTTAATTTTCGTAAGTGTATTTTCAGGTGTTCCGTAAATTATTTTGTACACTGTGTCGTTTTTAGTTGGACGTATTGCAAATGACAATCATACATACAAATCTACATACTACATTCAAACATACATACTGCAAACATAGCAAATAGACATACATACAAACATACACATATACATACATAAATGGTGATTTAAATAATTTGGATTAATCGACAAAAAGAGCCAAAACGGCAATTCATATTTAAGAAAAAGCTGACTGTTTCGGAAATAACAGACACTGCGAAGAAGGAAAACGATGCAGCAAAAGACTCCGATATAGCTTTTTCGACACAGTCGATGCAGATGAGGGAAGAAATCTAAATTACGTTTTACTTCCTTGTTTTGCTGCAAAACTTCTAGAACAGAAAAGCTGAAACCATTGATCGTTGGAAGATACTCAAACCTGCGATTTTTTAAGAACGTTCGATGACTGCCTGCACTAATCGTGCAAACAAATGTTTATCGAATATTCAAAAAAACTTGGATTTATAAATAAAAAACAAAGAAGGAAAAATCCTTCTTTTAACTGATAACTGATCGGCTCATAATTTGATATGAATATTAGAACATGTGAAAGTCAAATTTTTACCTGCAAACTATATAATATTCATGCATCTTTGAACATAGGAATCATACGTGTAGTCAAAATGCAGTACAGGAGTCAACTTATCAAAAACTTGTTGCTAAAATTAGTTTCACAGGATAATGGAAAATACATGTTAAAGGAGCATGTGACATGATCGTGGCAACATGGTGGTTCACAAAAGAACCAGCTATGTTAAAGGGTTGAAAGAAGACCTCGATTCTTGCACACAGTGATCTTGAAAAACAAACGACTGTAAAAGAGGAGACTGGAACTGAGGTGGAACAGGAGGCTAGAGAAATGTGAGACTCTATAGTTGCAGCCATGCGAGTTCCAAACAAAGGCAGTCATGCAGATTACATTGATGCAGATGACAAATTATTGGTATAGAGTGAGTTATGGACCAGAAAATTATTGAAAATATAAGGAATCTTCATGTAATACCGAAATGACACGAAAATTTCTCTCAGAAACTTTACGTAGCCTCAGGAAAGCTCATGCAACACGTCCTCTACTAGTGATGTACCAAAAAATATTTTCCAGCAGTTAAATGGATGGTATGAAAAATTTTCAGTTTTAATTGTGCTACTAAAAATAAGACGCAGTTAGACGTTACAGACTTTTTGATCAAAGAATAGTTTTTTAACGACTGTCTGTATTTGCATGAATATTTTGTAAATAAAATGACCTCAAAAGCGGATAGAGAATTATCCTAAGCTTTTAATAATAAACTAATCAATACATTAATGTAAACTTATAGTATATGCAATATCACCTTGAAAAGAATATTTCCAACTTCGAACCTGATTGTAACGTAAAATATTCAGCTTAAATACTTACTGATATCACGACTAAACAGATACGCTTATTGTTTGTACGATCTTATTTCTAGTCAGTGCACGGCTGTGTAGTAAACTTGTTCCAAAAATTGACTGTTTACTCAAATAAATATTACAAGTACTTATTGATAAATACTATAACCAATTTCTATAAGAAAGTAATCCACGGAACTTTCAGATAAGGCATTTGTCTGCACAATGTTGTACGGTGAAGTAGCGGTCATCCAATTAAAGCCTGAATAGTGCGAAGGTGCCGATCCGCACGTTGTTATGTTCGAATGTGCGCCAAAAAGCAGAGCTGATTCGCCGAACGGTGAAATTTGTTATACAGTAGAATGGCCACCGAATAATAATGTATAATGGAGCTGGATATGGTTCGAGAACGAACGAGAGAAAAAGTGAAAAAGAGATGACGATGCATGGGCCTAGTGTAGTTGTGCATGCAAACGGTCCGCGATTGACGGCGAGACAGCGTGGTGGTAGAGGCAGTTCGCCATGTGCATTTGTGATCGTCAGCCGACGAACACCGACATTCGACGATATTAATGAGAATAATTAATAAGGACAGATGAATGACGTCAGCGATCGATAGAGCGATCCATAACCACTATCATTATGACACTAGGCGAACGAACCGGAACGTACACCGACCTTGTCCGAAATGAACACCGCCCATGACAGTAGCTCGAATTTGCGAACGTCCCACCAGTAGCGTTGGTCATCGAACGAGTTGTGG